TTCTGGTCATCTCGGATCCTGCCCCTGGTTCTTCCTGTGCCAGAGTCTCGTCTCTGTTGCTTTTGCCCTCCAACCACTTGCCTGCCTTGGGAGTTTCCCCCACAGCCTCAACCACAAGGATTTACCTGTAAGGAGAGACAAAACTATTTATTCCATCGTTTTGAGCTGCTTCCTCTTGCCTCCTCGACCTGACCCTGTCTCTGCCTTTTTCAGGAGTCCCAGGCCAACTTTTGTATATACCTGTCGTCACATTCACTGTAAATAATAAACACTGTTTTGCTTACTTGAGACTCATGTTGTTCTGGTTCTCTTTCCTATTGGGTAGTCCGAATCATAACACATACATATAAAAACAACTTAAACAAAACTCCAATTATGATAAATATCTCTTGATAATGAACCAAAGCTACTAAAATAGTGAGTACGTTTGTTAGAAAAATATTCCTGTCATCAGATCTCAGTTGCTTCATTGCAGCTGAACACCGTGTTACACTGAACATAAAATCAGCTGGTGGACATAAATACAGTACAGTAATATTATATTCACAAAATACTAACAATAATATGTTCATCTTACTTGTGAAAAGTTATCCCACGAGACCTGACGTCAACAGTCCGTCGATTAGAACAGAAATAAGCTGCGAAGTGCTGAGACATCTTCTGCTTTAACCAAAGGACGACCGTTTCAAGATGGCGGCCGAAAATCCTACGCCGCAGCAGTCAGTGCTGTATCTAGCGTTTATATCTATGCTAGAATTAGCCTTTGGTATTTACACAAGCATTGTTAAAGTCACTACACAAATTTTCACTTCTTTTCGCAACGAAAACGAAGCTTAAACAAGCGATCAGCATGAAGCATGAAAGTCTTTTCACAAATTTGGACGAACGAAGTGTCACTTTGGTCAGCGTGGGCCTGTAGCTTAGCTTAGCTTCTCAGCTTAGCTGTTATTACCGATCCAAAAACGCCTTTTTGGACGGCTTAAAAACGGATTTTTCACCGTTACATTTTCACTATAAAGACGTGACTCTGTCGGTTCGCCTTAGTGAATCAGATAAGGACTTTTTACCGTTTAAAGTGTCATTAAACGGGGCGTTAGCGTTAGCTATGCTAATTGCTAACAGAATCCACTGCACTAATCTAGATTTTACTGTTCGTTGCGGCTTAAAATCTAAACTATTTCACTTAAAATTTTGAAAACTGGATTGATCAAATCCTTAAACCATAGATTTTAATCCGGCTGGACTGAATTATAAAATTCAGGTTATAAAATGCATGCAGAATATTTATTTTAAATGTAGAAGCAGACGCGGTGTGAGAAGTGTGACCCCACCTTATTCACAGAGAGGCACAAACACATGCATGACAGACGGGAGAAACGCAGTTTGGAGCAGAAATCAAAGAATGCAGTTTTAACACAGTTTTATGCTCACAATTCAACAAACCAGCATAGAAAATACTTTTCTGTGTGTATAATTTGCATAAAATGCTCCTCTAACAAGCCTAACACGGTAGGCATCACTATGTAGAGGGATTTTTGATTGGATATCTATATAATTTATTAGTTATGAGTTAAGCTCATAAGATATGCATTTATTATGCAAATAACCTCGTTATGCGGGCACCATCTCTTTGAGGAAAATCAGTCTCTAACCCTCAAATTAACTGAACTGAAACGTGAATTCTTTCCCGTGTTTAAAGGGGCGTTAAATCAGTTAATACACACAGATATGTCAAAATAATCACAATTTAGTTGATTTTTTATGTATTTTATTACAAAAATAATAATCTGATATATATATCTGATGAAGATTATTCATAAAAAATTAATACATAAATTAATAACAAAATTACCTTGTGTCAAAGGTTTTTTGATTATTAAATTCAGTGTAACTTTTTATAAAAGGCAGAATCTTGGACTGGTTTGTTGGGGTGTAGTTAAAATTGTGTCTAAATTAACTGTGGTGTATTTAAATTAATATTATTGTGAATGTATGATCACCAGAAAGGCATTAAGGTCTCTTGTCCTACCAGAATGAGTCGTCAGAATGTCCACAACTGCTTATGAGGGATGCCAGCTGTACCTGAGATGCTATGGGTGACTTAAAAGGAGGATTTATCCTCAAAGGTCACCGGTCATCCGTTAGAGGGACCAAGGTCCGATCACAGGCTCTTTGAAGTCAGCTGAGATTTATCACTCTGTGACGTGATGTTCTGGTTCGTGTCTCAGTTTAATGCCAGGTTCTGCTGGTTGTTGTCTTCCTTCCAGGACGTCTCACTAGGAGGAAGATTCTTCTCTGAAGTTTTGCTCGAAGTTCGTTGATGTAGAAAGAGCGAAGTGTAATGAAGAAGTGGTGTAGAAGATGAAGAAGTGAAGTGTCTGTCTGTGTGTTACAGATTCACTTAGGACCTCCCCCCTAGAAGTGGGATGGTTCATAGCTTTGTGTTATGTTTTTAAAGAAAATCACAGTCCATTTTCTCTATCTGCCTTTAAAAAGTCACACTTCTTTTAAAAGGAGAAAAATAAACATGATTATCTTAAAGAGAGGTTACTTTAAACAGACATTTTCTATAACAAACATTCAGTTCTGAAGCTATGGAAATAACATGCAGTGTTTATCAAAAAAGGTGTCGCTGTTCATCTCCTGAAAGAGAAAGTCATTTTTAAAACAAAGGATTCTTTTAAAACTGTTATCTCCATGGGAAAATCCTGGGAATAAAACTCCTCGGCAGGTGTCCCACCTCGAGGTCAATATGAACCACAGCTCTCATTAAGACGATCTGTCCGTTTCGTGGGAAATCCACGTCCATATTGGCAGTGAAGTTAACACAATGACAGTTTTCATTACATTAGATTAGTGGCAACTAAGGAGTTTGTAAGCTGAGTTTAACACCTGTAAAATAAAGTCTGTTCGTTCCCAAGGGAATAAATGCATCTTGTTTTAACAATTTCAAACACAACACATGAATGATGTTTGTTTTGAGGTGAGGTAAACTCTGTTCAAAGGTGGTGTTCCCCTACATATATATTGTATTAGCATGTACTGTATAAAATACTTTCTAATGATGTTACAAGTATCATTATTTATGTTGTTTGTTGTTGTGGTTTCTTGGTTTTGTCGTCTTTTTTTTCGCAGGTCTAGAGGCAGACTTCAATGATGTTGATTTGTGTTCTCTTTATACCTCTCTCTCTCCTCTATTCCTATCTCCTTCTTTACCATTTAACTATTTTCTCATTTTTCTGCTTTGTCATCTTTGTTTTTCATCCCCATGTCCATTACATCTGAAACAAGCCCATAGCAAATTCTAATAAAAATTAATTTTTATATGAAGTGGAGCATTAAGGCCAGCCATAATGCTCTGCTTGTAAGTCTGTTGGGCATCACTTTGACACTCAGACAATAATTCTAAGTGTCACAATGCTGGACAGGATAAGGGGAAAAAAATATGGCTATTAAACCTTTAAACGTTAGAGCACTGACAGCCTGTGTTTTATATTTTAGCTACTGTGGCTAAAGTTGCTGCAATGATGGATAATGTTACCCAGCTAACAAACACATAAATACTGTTTTTATTAACCTTACCTTGCGCTATATCTTGTAATATAACCTCCTAAAGTTCCTATTTGACTACGTTGTCTGACGTCATGTGAAAAGGGCCTATTGGCAGACTGGGGTGGTGGCTCCCCTCTTCAATAAGGGGGACGGGAGGGTGTGCTCCAATTATAGGGGCATCAGTCTCCTTAACCTCCCTGGTACTGATCCATTTTGGCGAAGAGGGAGCTGAGCTGTAATGCAAAGCTCTCTGTTTATCTGTCGGTCTTCATTTCTACCCTCACCTATGGTCACGAGCTCTGGGTAGTGACCGAAAGAATTATATCATGGATATAGGCGGTTGAAATGAGTTTCCTCTGCAGGGTAGCTGGACTCTCCCTTAGAGATATGGTGAGAAGTTCCGTTATCTGGGAGAGACTTGAAGTAGAACCACTGCTCCTCCACATTGTGAGGAGCCAGTTGAGGTGATTTGGGCATCTGGTAAGGATGCTCCCTGGGTGCCTCCCTAGAGAGGTGCTTCGGGCATCTCCGCCTGGGAGGAGACCCTGGGAAAGGCCCAGGACACGCTGGACAGATTATGCCTCTCAGTTGGCCTGGGAATGGCTTGGAGTCCTCCCAGAAGAGCTGGAAAAGGTGGCTGTGGAAAGAGATGTCTGGGCCTCCCTGCTCAAGCTGGTGCCTCCGTGACCCGACTTCAGAACAAGTGGAAGCGTGCGTGGGTGCATGCGTGCGTACGTGCGTGCGTACGTACGTACGTACGTACGTACGTACGTATGTACGTATATATGTATGTTTCAACAAAAGTCTCACAAATTACGTTGTAGGTTGATAAGTCGGAGATATTTCTGCCATGGAAATTCTGTGGGGTAGCACCACATTTGATATTTCACAGAACCAAAATATAGCACCTGTGACAACTGTGGTCATTAAAAAAAATCTGCCAATATAAAAGGGGAAGTTGGTGCTACAAAATTATAAATATGATTTTTATTAACCTTTATGTTTCAGGTATCAAATTATGGATTTTTTAAACTCTAAATACAGTAAAGCTGCTTTTTAAAGACAGGAGATTTTAGTCTATTTACTCATGCCTACCGCTAATTTTTGTGTACATGTGTTTGTACGTGTGTGTGCATTTTTGTTTCAGGTCACCTTGTAAGGACCAATTTTACAAAATGCATGCATTGTGGGAACCAACTGCTCTTTTATAGGGACCAAAGCCAGGTCCATATAAAAAGAGAAGTCTCTTCGGGGGTGAGGGGTTAGGTTTAGGACTAAGGTGTGAAATGTGGAAGGGTTAGGGTTAGGCATGTACTAGTAATGGTTAGGTTTAGGGTCAGGGTCAGGGATAGGTTATAAAAAATGAATGGAAGTCAATGCAAAGTCCCCAAAAAGTATGCTTACAAGAATGTGCATGTGTGTGCGTGCGTGTGTTTGTGTATTTGCAGGAGAGCCAGTCAGAGGTGACCCGTCTCCAAAAGCAGAAGGAGGAATTGTGTGCTCAGATCAGGGACCTCAGCCTACCTGTTGACCTTGCCTTAGACTCAGTGCCAGACCTGAAGAAGCAGCTTCGCCTCTTGGAGAGTCAAGCCAGTGAGAGAGACGAGGAAATTACAAAACTGTCTGCCAAAATCCAACAGCAGCAACAGGTGTTCACATGACACACTAACATATTCAGATCGATTTTCTTTTAGCCGCCTCGCTCACCTCATCCAATTTTCCCCACCTTTAGGTCCAAATGCGGTTTGAGATGGAGATGGAGAGGATGAAGCTGATGCATCAGAAGGAGCTGGAGGACAAAGAGGAAGAGTTAGAGGATGTCCACAAGTCTTCTCAGAGACGGGTGGGTTAAACTTACAGGTTTATGCATATTTTCAATAGATTCAAACTTACTCAATAGATTCAAACTTACTCAACTACTGAATGGCTACACCACTACTGGCTGTTTTAGAAGATGAGGTTGAGATATGTCAGCTGGTTGAATTATACAAGCACTTATTGTAATTAAGTTAGTTACATAATCCATGGCTTCAACTACACCACTCTTGTTAAATTTGAATAGGGATGCACCGATCCACATTTTTTTAACTTCCGATCTGATCCCGATACCTAAATCTGGATATGAGCCGATACGATACTATTCCTATGTCAAAGTCAGAGATTCTTTATTGTCGTTCGCACCACATGTGGTACATGTGGTGGAACAAAATTATGTACGCAGGGTCCCAGTTACATCCAACAATAAAATGTAAAAGAAAAACAATGATAACGTCTTAAGATTTGAACTAAGAAAAACATCAACTAAAAATACACTGAGCATGAATAGTATAAAAACATTACGTCGAACAGCAGCACGAACGTGAGTCTGTGTGAGCAGATGAGCCCGCATCGACACAGCAAAATGAAACAGATCAGCAGCAACATGATGTAACTTTTCACAGTGATTATTCATGAATCTAACAGCCTCAGGGTAGAAGCTGTTCCTCAGTCTAGTGGTTCTACACTTAATGCTCCTCAACCTCCTTCCTTTATTGATTTTATATGAGGCTGTAATAATCTCCTCTCTACAGGCAAGTACAAGTTATACAAATCTGGACTTCATGAGACACGCCTCTGTTCAGGAAATCCATTCCATAGTTTGAAGCCAACTTGCAGAGCAGCAAGCAGAGAATCACATGTGGAGATGTTTCAACAGACACAGACATGCATCATAGATCGGAAATCTCTGCAGGTTGGATCGGAAAAATCCGATACGTAAAGTATGCTGGTACCGGAGCCCGATACGGATACCGGATTGGCCCCACCCCTAATTTTGAACAAATTTTTTTCCTTTCCAATTAAATGCAAAATTCTCTGTCCAGATGAGAGTGCAAAAATATCCAAAAAGATTAAACCTACATGCCAGGCCTGTAGGGGGTAATAATCTTGGAATTATTATTGCCCATCGCCAAAACATACTATGAGCAGTCATTAAAAAAATAATACTTTGCTTGTTTTTTTTTCATTAAACCTTTTTTTAGACAGGTAAAATCCCATTCAGCCTCCAAGACTCATTTACAAGAGAGACCTGATTTCAACAAAGAATGATGACAACAATGGACAACAGCGACAACAATAAACAGTTATAAAAAGTCATACTCCAGTTTTTTTTTTTAAACAATTAGGATGGCTTAAAAAAAGTAACAAAAAAAAACCCCAGCTAGATTCTAAGGCGAATGTAGAAAACTAAAAACAGGAACATGTCTGCATTGGTCCCTGCCAGGAGTTCAACAGACTCTTAAAGCCACTTAGAGAGGTCAAGGTTGAGAGCTTCAAATGTTTTTGTAAGGTATTCCAGGAAACAGGAGCGGAGTAGGAGAAGGCCCTCTTGCCTAGTTTAGTCCTCACTGAGGGAACACTGCAGGTAATAATGTCCTGAGAGTAGCTGCACTCATGTAAAGACATGTAGGAGGAGATGTATGAAGGCAGCAGACCAACAAGTGATTTAAAGATGAAAATGTACCAGTGAGAGTGTCTGCGTGAAGTTAATGATGTCCAGTTAACCAGTAAATACAGGGTGGGTACGATAATCACAGCCAGTTATGAATCTTAGTGCACCATGATAGACAGCATCCAACATCTGCAG